CCATTAGGGAAGGAACTATCAGAAAGACAACTACAGCATGCAAGACTGAAGTTAGACTCCAGCCAGCTTCTCTGCACTGTGGACTCCGGTCCAGGACATAGGCTCTGACACATCTTGGGTCCTGCAAGGTCCCCCTGGCCTCCACACATCTTGCTGGGAGTTCCCAGTCGCCCACGTCCCCAGGCCTGGCTGAGATTCTCTAGGATAGTGGCTATGCAGGCCCCACCCCAGTGTAGAGAAGGAAGAGAGGCCATTTGCCTAAGCGTGTGGGGAGCCACCAGAGTTAAACACAGCCCTCTCCACCTCCTGTGCCCCGCCAGGGCCTCCTGTAGCTCAGGCTGGCTCAAACTCACAAGTAGCTAAGGATGACCTCCTGCCTCCATCTCCCCAGTACTGGGATGACAGGCACTTGCCACCGTACCTGCCTTTTGTTTGTTTGGGTGCGAGATCTGCCTGCTCTACAAAGTGAGCTCCAGGAAAATGAGGTCCATGTAGTGAGACCCTGACTCAAATAAAAAAAATAAGTAAGAAAGGAAAATATTTTCTTGGGGCCAAGACAATGGGCAGAGTGCTTGCCTGACATTCCAGTACAAGAGTCAGAAGTTAGGGGGCTGGAGAGATGGCTCAGAGGTTAAGAGCACTGCCTGCTCTTCCAAAGGTCCTGAGTTCAATTCCCAGCAACCACATGGTGGCTCACAACCATCTGTAATGGGGTCTGGTGCCCTCTTCTGGCCTGCGGGCATACACACAAACAGAATATTGTATACATAATAAATAAATAAATATTAAAAAAAAAAGAGTCAGAAGTTAAAGGTCATCCTCTGCTACATGGTGAGTTCCAGGCCAGCCTGGGCTACATAAGATCCTGTCTTTTTTTTAAAAAAAATCCAGAACTAAAATAGTTTTCCCTTCCAGTGGCACCCCTGTGTCTGCTGGCGAGACTCAGCTCTGCCCCGGAGCCTTTACCTGGGCTAGCCTGAGAACCCAGAAGCCCCACTTTCCAGCCTCTCAGACACACACCGCCCGTGGGACAGCTACCTACCTGGATGGATGATGATTTAAAGATCTTAGCCGGATTGTAGTGGTGCACGCCTTTGATTCCTGTAGAGGCAGGAGGATTTCTTGAGTTCGAGGCCAGCCTAGTCCACAGAGTGAGTTCCAGAACAGTCAGGGATACACAGAGAAACCCAGTCTCAGAAAAAGCAAAATAAATAAAAATAAATCTTGTCCCAGAGCAAAGCTGAGTGCTGTGTGATGCTGTAGCCTCTCTGTGCTTTATGCATATCACACGGACATGCGTGCACAACTACACAGACACATGCACTCGCACACATGCATGCCCACACACATGCACGTGCGCACACACTACACAGACACACGCGCACAAGCTACTTCACAGCACCGACAGACACAATGCCTTCATCAGAGGAACAGCACACTGACACTGCAGAAGGGGCGCCTTCTCCAGCAACCCCTCAAAATCCCCTTGTGCCTCCAGGGTGCTCCCAGAATGCTTAGCGAAGGGCCTACATCACCTGATTTCCTCCACACCTAGGGTGTGGGAAGTAACAGGGAGATAGTGGTGCAAGCCTAGCACCTCAGCCAGCACTTGCAAGGTGGAGGCAGGAGGATCACAAATTCAGGGTCATCCTCCATAAAGAGTTGGAGGCCAACCTGGGCTACAGTAATAGAACATTTGTGCCAGGCGGTGCTGGCGCACGCCCTTAATCCCAGCACTCAGGAGGCAGGCAGATCTCTGTGAGTTCGAGGCCAGCCTGGTCTACAGAGCGAGTTCCAGGACAGCAACAGCCAGGGCTACACAGAGAAACCCTGTCTCAGAAAAAAAAAAAAATTAAATCCCCCAAATTCAATACTTTGGGGCTGGAGAGATGGCCCAGCGGTTAGAGCACTGGCTGTTCTTCCAGAGGACCTGGGTTCAGGTCCCAGCACCCACATGGCAGCTCACACTTGTCTGTAACTCCACTTCACACCAATCCACTTAAAGTTAAATAAATCATAAAATAAAAATAAAAAAGTCGCGAATTTGCATGTTCCAGGCCCTATGCTCTGTCAAAAAGTGTCACAGACTTAATTACTGATTAAGGGCAGTAGTCCATTGTGTAAATGCGCCACATTGTCCTCATCCAAGGGAAGCAGAGAAAGATGAGATCTCCTGAGTAAATTGCAAGAGGGCTGAAGGGGAGGGGAGAGGCAGGGAGGAGAGCTCAATAAAAAATCAATAAAAATAAATTAAGGGGTAAAATGTCCCACAGACCCTAGCACATCTCCTCGCTCTGAGTTATATTTTAATTGCACTAACGTTTTGCTGCCTTATAATTATTATTTTGTTGTTTTACCGAGACAGGGTTTCCCTGTATAGCCCTGGCTGTGCTGGAACTCATTCTGTAGACCAGGCTGGCCTCTGCCCCCAGAGGGCTCCAATTAAGGTTGCACTGCTGTTGCCTGGCAATTTGTTTATTTTTGAGCTGGGGACCCGGGAGCCCTGGTGGGGTCAAATTTGTAAGTAGTTGAGGGTCACCTTGAACTAATTCCTGGTTCTCCAGGCCTCTGACCTGCAGGGCTCACAGGTCTGTGTCACCTCACCCACAGCATTAAATTAGATTAGATTTAGATTTAGATTAGATTTTTCCCCCTGAGACAGGGTTTTTCTGTAGCCCTCGTGTTCTGGACCTCACTCTGTAGACCAGGTTGGCCAGACTCAAAAGAGCTCCACCTGTCTGTCCCAAGTGCTGGAATTAAAGCCGTGTACCACCACCACCCGGCCCTAGATTCAATTTTAATTTATTTACTTTTTCCCTTTTAGAGAAGATCCCCACACGTAGTCCTGCGTGACCTAGGACTCGCTATGTTGACCAGGCTAGCCTCAGGACTCTTAGAATCCTCCTGTCTCTTCCTCAGAATTAAAATCCACGCTTCATCGGTCATCCTATTGATTGATGCGAGATAGTGAAAGCTGCCCAGGCCAGCCCTTTCTAGCCTTCTCCTCCAGTTCTCTCCTGACTCGCCCCGCCCCCATCCTCCCACCCGGCCTGGACCCCTTTCGGACTTATTAGAAAATTGGGGAGATATGGTCCAAGGTGCTCTGCAGGTGATGCTGGTCTGTCCAGGCCTCTAGGGAGGGTCCAGCCTGAGGTGACCGCTGCAGCTGCACCAGTCTCTGGGGAAATCGAGGCAGGTGGGAGGGGCTTCAGCCGTGGGCGTGGAAAGTGCCCTCAGTGAATTCCGGGAGACACGGGTAACCCCGCCCTCTGTGGCCCCGGCAGATCCAGGAGGGCGTGGCACTCCGGTGCTTGAGGAAGGGTTCCGTGGCCAAGGTTCCGGGTCCCCACCCCACCCCCGTCGGGCTCACGTGGCTGCCCACCTTCTTGGCTGGTGTCACTGCCTGGCGCGGGGCTACCACTTCCCCTGTGGGGGACCTCCTGGGTTTCCCCTTAGAAGGCAATTTATTAATATAAAACGCGAATCCAGACTGCTTGGGTGTTGAAAGGCATTTTTATTTGTATTTTTGAGGCAGAGTGTCACTACGTAGTCCCGGCTGTCCTGAAACTCATTCTGTAGACGAGGCTGGCCTAGAACTCAGAGATCCACCTGCCTCTATCTGCCTCCCATAGATCCAGGTGAACTGTACTTTTAAAGGTGTGTTGGAGACGGGGGAGGGGTCGATGCTTTGATTTAAAAAAACAAAATAAACATATTAGGACAATCTGTAAAAAATACTGATAACAGTAATACCAATGAATGAAAAATATCCTAAAGTAAGGACCCAAATATTTGGAGGCTGACATCCCATGCGGTCCACCAGAAGGGGCGCAGAAGGAGAAACTGAGGCCTGGAGTACGCTCTTACTCCGCCCCCTCCCGCGAGCCGCGGACCCACAGCCGGGTTGTCGGGTGGCGTGGTGGAGCCCAAACCCAGCAGGCCTGGTGAACCGGGATGTCGCTTGTCCCCTCCTCTCCCTTCCCCTCCCTCTCCGGACCTCTCCCACGACCGGAGAGGAAGTGGGAGAGAAAAAGACCCGGGGCGTGAAAAAGGAAAACAAGAAATAAAGCTGGGTTGGATCCGGGCTCCCCGACTCCCCACCTCCGTCCTGCTCCGGGATTGCGCGACGCTCCGGCGAGGGTCCGGGTCCACGCCCCACCTCAGCCGGGCCAGCCAGCCGGCTGCGGGGAAAATTACAAGGCCTGGAAAACAACCGTCCTTCCCCGCCCCTCGCCAACCCCTTCCCCGCGCTACGCCCCTGGCACAGCCGGGTGGAGGCGACTGTTTTATGTAATCGCGGGGCGGCAGGTTTGCTGGCTGGCTGCAACGGTGAGGGAGGGACCCCCCGAGCTGAGCTGCCACCTCGGGGCCCTGCAAGCCTAACCCTGGGGGGTCCCTGGCACGGCTTTGGGTAAACTGAGGCCCAGATGGGGGTAGATGGAGACTCGACTCTCTGAAACAATTTAGCCATACTTGCAAACAGCTCCCCCTCCTCTGGGTTCGTCGCAGTTTGGGTAAACTGAGGCTTATGGTGGGGGCTGAGGGACCCGGAGCTCAGATGCAGGCTCCAGACGCTAGCAATACCCTCCTTCTTCCTCTCCTGGGCCGCTTGGACTTCTTGGGTAAACTGAGGCTCAGGGTGAAGGTACGGAAAGCCAGAGCTCCGAGGCAACTTCGCCGTCTTTGCAACAACCCCATCCTTCTCCCTCCAGTCCCTTGCAACATTTGGGGAAACTGAGGCCCAGGGGAGGGCGATGAGGAATCGTGCCATCGCCCTGGTGGCCCAGGAGAGAGGTGTGGCGGCGGAGGACCGTCACTTGCTCGCCTTCCCCTCAGCTCCCGGGTCCAGCGCGCCCCCCACGCTCCAGCAGTGGGTCCTCCGGGTGCGCACCGCGCTCCCGCCCCCGCTGCCAACCCGCCCCACCCTGCCCCGGGCGTCGGGGGCACAGCTCGCGCCCCCTGCACCCCGCCCAGCGCGCACAGGCTGGGGCTGTTTATCTGCGGCCCCCACCCCTTACACCCGAGGGGCCCCTCTTGCCCGCCCCCAGCACCCCGGGGTGCTTCGGGCCGTAGATAAGCCAGCAGGCTGGCACGGCGCCGCGCACGGGGCGGAGAGGTCACGGGCTTGCCAGGGGAGGGGCCGATGGGTCGGGGCTGCGCCCCCCGCCCGCCCGGCACCCCCAAATCCCTAATCGCAGCCGGATCTGCTCTTGCGGCGCAGCCCCGCGGGACGTGGCAAGAGCCGACCTGCAGAGCCTGTTCTGGCCGCGGCGGCCGGGGGGGGGCGGGCTGGGCGTGGGGGTGCCGGCGCTGCGGCACCTTTAAGACGAGGGAGGACCCCTCTTGCCCTCGGACAAACCAGGAAGGGAGTCGCGAGCATCATACGGGGCTTTGCGTACTGTACGGCTACTGTAGGGGCAGTGACGCCGCCGCCCGCCCGAGCGAGGTCCGCGCCGCGGGCAGCCCCGATCGCGCGTCCTCCGGGCCCGGGTCCCCGCGGGGTAAGCCGCCCGGGCTGAAGGGGAGCCCTCTCGGAGAGGTGGGTTTTGTTTTTGTTTCTATTTTTTTTTTTAATTTCCTTGCAGGGTGGGGACGCGGCCGGGGGCGCAGTGCGCACCCGGAGCGCCCGAAGAGAGCGGAGACGGGCTGGATGAGGGATCTGGGGCGCCTCCGCAGCTCCGGGGTTCTAGAAACTAGGGGGTGCCCGGTTACAGCCGGAGGCCAGTGAGGGGGGGCTCCGCCCGGGTCCCTCCGGGGCGAAGGGCACGAGCCTGCGCTCGCTCCCCTCCTCCCGACTCGGGCTGCCCAGCCTCGGGGCTCCGGGCGCGCGGGGCGCGGGGGAGGGGAGCCGGGCCGCACCGCGGGCGGAGGTGGGGGCAGAGGGGCGCGTCGCGTGCTAAGTTTGCAGTAGGGCCCGGGGCGCGCGCCGTTCCCCTTTCCGAGTGGTCGTGGGCAGGCGGGGCGGAGGGTGGGGGCTATCCGGGACTGCGCGCAGGCGTTGGAGTTGGACGCAGGATGGAGCTCCATGGGGGAGGGGGGGAGGGGGCTGAAAAAACAGGGAGGGGGGCTTTGCAGAAAGAAAAAAAGCGAGAGGCGGGGGGGGGGGTAGGGGTGGGGTGTCCGGGGGGCGGGCGCAGCCTCTCTCGGTTCTCCTGGGCGCTGTAGTTCTTTCTCTTACCTTCAGGGCTTGGCGTCTCGTAAGGTGGTCAGGGAGTCTGGACTACAAGTCCCAGAATGCTCCGCGATGCCACCGGTCAGGGAGGGGTGTTGCAGAGGAGGGGCGGTGAGCGGCGGACCAGAGGGCCAATGGAAGGGAGAAGCCGTCCGGCGCGGCGCAGTGTGAGGGTGGACTCCGCGTCGGGGGCGGGGTCTTGTGGGAGGGGCGGAGCTTCCGTGGCTCCCTCGCCGGGGGCCGGTGGCGGTCCCGGCTTCCGGCTGCCGCCCCTCCCCTCCTGTTGTGTAACCGTCCCTAGGCCCCCCCCCCCTTCGTTTCGCTATTTTATTTTTTTTCCCGTTTCCGTTTAGTTCCGGACGCTCCGGGACGAGGAGAAAGGTTCCTCCGCCAGACGAGACGTTCCCTCCCAGGGGGAGGGTGTGGTGTCGGGGCCTCGGGGCTTCAGGCGAGGCTGGGGATGCGCGGCCTGGCGCGGGCCGGGTCGGGCGCGGGGGAGGTGACGGGCGGACCCAGATCCGGGGTAATTTGCATCGCCCTCCCCCCAGCCCGGGTGGGGATTGGCCGGGCGGCGGCGGAGGGTGGCGCGGGGCCGGGCTCAGCGTCGCCCGTCGGGGCTCGGAGCCGCCAGCCCGCCGCAGCCATCGTCACGGTCGCCGGGGCCCTCGCGCCGCCCGGGAAGGAGGTAGGAGCCGCGCGGCCTCGGGGCCGCCGTCCCGTCCCTTCCTTCTTCCCTTCCTCCTCCCCGTCGCCATCGCCACCACGTGCGCCCCCGCCGCCGTCCCCCACCTGGGCCTGGCACCCAAGGGTGCTTCTTTAGTGGCGGAAGTGAGAGAGAGAGAGACGGATGGCTTTCCTGGTTCCCTCCTCTCCTTTCCCTCCCTTTCCAAGCAGACCTACTTAGCTCAGTACCCGTGAATCACTAAGCCCAGCACCCATGGGTGACAGACTTGGCGGAAACCCTGTGTCTTCCCCCCCTCCTTGCCACAGCTGCTTCCCCCGGCGAGGGTGTCTCCGGCCTCCGATGTCAGCAAGCCAACCCCCCTACCTTCCCCCAAGCCCGGGCCCAGGGCGTCACCCTGAGTGGCCGCTCCCACGCTGAGGAGGGGGGAGCCCCCTCAGGCACCAAGCTGATTACTTGCAATTGGCAAGACTGTGGTGGGAGAGGTCCCCAGGCCTTCCATCCCTCCCTCGGCTCAGGCTAGGCCCTGGGTTGCAAGAGGGTTCTCTCAGCCTGGGGACGTCTGCTCATCCCAGGGTCACCTCCCCACCCCACACCTTTCCCGGAGGGCCTCCAGTGGCTCCCCCAGCTAGGCCCTGGCACCTCTCCGGGGCTGGGCTCGGGGCTCTGTTTACCGGCAGGCATCGCTGTGGAGACGGCCTGGGGGAGGGAGGGAGGGGGCAGCCTGGGCTGGAAGACAGGCAGGAAACAGGATCCAACCGGGACACTGAAATTTTAATTTGCCGGTCACTTTGGGGGTGGGGGTATTTATTATTTAGTTGAAATTGGCCGTGGCCGAGGCCAGGCAGCTCCCGGTTCAGGAAGGGGAGCTATACACCCAGGGTCTCAGGCGTTTGGGGACACTGAGGCAAGAGAGGCAGAGCCCTGTGTGGCCTGGTGTAGGGACGGTTTCTGGGCAGGAGTGCCTCGTCCTTGGTGGCTTTTGGGTGCATTCTGTTCTTTTCCTTGAGGCTGTGTGACCTGTAACTCAGTCCTTGTCACATAGAAGGAAACCCAGGCTTGGAGTGAGGAAGGCTCTGGTAAGCGGGGGTCTTCGAGGCCAGAGGGACTGGGAGGCACAGGGGATAGACTCAAGGTCATGTCCCTGGTGGTCTCCCCCTGAGGGTAGGGGTCTTCCCAAAAGTCCCCTAGTGTTCCAGGGGACTCTCTTCCAAGAGATTGGGAGGCTGGTGTCTGGGACTGGATGCCGTAACTAACACCTGTCATGCCTAGGGATCCTGCCCACAATGACATTGAGCCCAGAGAGGGACAGTGAGACTCCAAGGTCACACAGCTGGAACCCTAGTCTGTCCCCTGGTCCCAGGCATCTGCCACCCTGGGGACTGGGCACACGGTGGGCATTGTACATCTGGGTTCCAGGTTTACAGTGCCACAGTTGCACCCCTGGTCCCCAGGGCCTGACGCGGGGAGGGCCCACAACTCTTGTCTCAGATCCTTAACCCATTGGGTGTCTCTGTGTCCTCTTGGGTTGGGTTTCCCCGGGGTCTGCTGGGGCACCCCAGGATCTTTGGCACCTGAGCCACCCTGGTCTTCCTCCATCACAGGCCCTGCAACGAGCCAGGAGAGCAAGCTGAGGCAGGGTCTGCAGCCCACCAAGAGGGGCCAAATTCCCCCTCTGCCTCAGTTTCCCTGACTGTGTCCTCTTCCCTACTTCCCGCCGCCAACCTGAACAGGCTTGGAGGGACTGGTGGGTGGGAGCGGCTCTGCCGTCCTGAACTGGCAGAGGGACCCCAGTCTTGCCAGCCCCCCAAGGTGACGTTGCCCCATAGCTCGTGTGAGGGCAGTGCCCCTGTGCCCTGAGCTCCCTGGGGGCTGTGTCGGGGGAGGGGAGAGGCGCCCTGGGAAGAACGAGTTAGGCAAGACCAGCCAGGTTCAAATTCCAGCTGGCTCTGTGGCCCTGGGCCCTGGCCTCCCCTCTCTGATCTAGTCCCCCGTGTGTTGAGGGAGGGGCCCCGGTTCCAGACCCCCTCCCAGCAGTGTCCCCTGTCCTCAGGTGGGATGAAGGTGGTCAGCCCTCCTCCAGCACTGTCTCAGGGTCCGGCCTCCTTTCATGTCCACCCTGTGGGATCTGGAGTGTGGCCTGAGGCCCAGCCCCTCCATCTGTCCCCTCAGCAGGCTGGGGTTGGGCCACTCAGTGGCCCTCCCCACCCACACCTTTCTGGTTTGACGGGAAATAGGCCGGGCCCACCTTGAGCCAGTAGAGTCTGGGGAGGGAGGTGGCGGATTCTGCAGGCCCCTGGGCCAGCCAGGGACCTTCTGGGGAGCGTTTGCAGGTGGCTACAGGTGGCAGGAGAGTCTTGCCAGGCCCCTCAGGCTTGCTTTCGGAGGGCGTCCTGGATAACAGGTGCAGCTAAGCTCAGTTCTGTCCCTTCAGGGTCCTTTCGGTCTGACTTGGTTGCCCCCAGCAGCAGGAGCCTCACCCCTCCATGGCGGGGAAGGTCTTCGTTTCCACTGGGAACTAGGCCTCACTTCTGGCTTTCCTGGATGAGTGGCACTTGGAGCGTGGGAACAGGGTGGGCCTGGGCCCCACCCTGGAGCTGGGCTCCCCACAGGCCTGCCTTCCCCCGCCCCCACACTCACACACTTCCCACTGGGCCGGCTGCCTTCCTGCCTCTGGCCCTTTAAGGCCCCTGGGCAGGAAGCCCCTCCCCATTATGGCAATAAATGCACAGTAAATGGCGGGGCCTGAGTGAATCCTGCCTGGCCCTCTGCTGCTGCTTAGTCGGGTTGGGGAGGCCACCCCTGCGCCCCCAATGAATTCCTGTCCAATTAGACCAGGCCAGGCGGGCATTGGCATCAGGTCAGGGCTCTGTAACCCGTAGGGACCAACCCTTGCAACACAGGCTGGGGCGGGGGCTGCGGGGCAGGGGCCTGGCGGGCTGTACCTGCTGCCAGGCTTGCTGTGTGACCTTGGGGTGGCTGCCCACCCTTTCTGGACCTAGTGAAGGCCAGGGTGAAAAGCCCCAGAGCCCCAAGGGGTTGATGGGTGCACCTGAGCAGGGGTGCGGTGTGCGACCTCAGGCCAGAGTCCCCAAGGAAACTGAGGCCCAGAGGGGCGTGGCCTCCTGCAGGAGCTCACCCAGGAACCCTGGCAACCTTACCTGCCCCCTGGGCCCTGCCTCAGGAATGTGAAGTAAGGTGGTGGGTGGCAAGTTTTCCTCCTGGGCCCCTTCCCAGAAGTCCCTCTTTCTTCCTGTGGACCTGGAGGCCAGTCCTAGCCTTCACCTGTGTGACCTTGGAAAGACCCCAGTCCTAGGCTTCCACCCCTCTCCCACTTCCAGACCCTTGGTCCCAAGTACCCTTCCTCAGCCCCTGGGGCCCTAGCAGGTACTGTGTGGCCTTGGCTGGAAAGGGCAGGGCAATCCTAGGTTGGAGGAGAGGTGGGACCAGCAGCTGTCCCCTGATACTGGGTGTGTCAGCCTTCCAGGTGGGTGGAGCAGGGTGTGGGCCTGGGTCTTTGGTTCATCTGACCTTTTGCTTGACCCTACTGCACGGTTGGCCTCAGGAGAGGGTGCCCCACCTCTCTAACCCAGAAGGGGCCTGCCAGGGCCTGCCCCTTTCCTGGCCGCCGACTCAGCACTGAAGAGCCCCAGAAATCCCACGGAGGCAGGCACAGGCAGGAACTCTTGTGTGGGGACCCCAGTCATCGTTGGGAAGGTCTCCCCTGAGGAGGGACATAGGCCTGGAGCTGGGCAGCCTCAGTTCCTTCATGGTTGACCGGTGTGCTTCAGGGAGCCCAGCGGAGGTTCTTGGCACCCTGTGTGCCCCAGGAGCTATGGCTGTTCTCGGGGGCCTGCTCCTCATCTGAGGCCTCCAGAGGCCCAGGGCGTGGCAAGGCAGGTGTCTGCTGGGGCCCTGGGCATCCTGTCACCTTTGTGGGGGGTGGATGTGATAAGGGGCTGGCTTCTGTGGCCCCGTGTCTCCAGGCCTGGCCCAGCCACGACCCAGAGGCTAGAGCCTGGGCGCCTTCGCACTTAAAATAGGGCTCGGCAGCCCCTGGCCCTGGAGCGCAGTGCCTGGTGGGAAGCCAGGGTGGCCGTGCCCAGGGCAGCAGCTAGGCTGACTCATTTGGACTTTTTCAGGCCCTGGGGGCCCCTGCAGGGACACTTTTGAGCCATCTCTCAAGGGACCTGGGTCACCCTGCCTGGGGGACATCTTTGGGGTCATGTGCCCCCTCCCTCTCCGTGGCTGGCTGTGGCTGGAGGGGACAGGCTTGTCTTGTCTGCCCATATTCTCCCCAGGCCCAGGCCCAGACAGCAGGTGGTGGGAGGGGGTGGAAACCACCAATGGGGGCTCCTCGAAGTTTCCCAGGGCTGTGCCTTGGTCCACCCCCTCTGGCCCCCTAGTCCCTACAATCACATCTGAGTCGTCCCTCCCCTGTCCAGGGTGTATGTGTGGGGTTCTGCTCAAGCAGCTAGCTGGTGGGGTGGGATGAGAAGGTGGGCGGTGGCCGAGGGGCACAAAGGAGTCTGTGTCACCAGGCACTCCTGTGAGGGGAGACCCACCATGGATGGTGCCTCCCTCTTGAACCTCTGGGTGAGTGCCAGGCCAGGCATGGAACAGGAGGGGCCCAGAGGCCTCAGGAAGCTGAAGAGGGTGCAGCTTGGGCCCTGTCCCTTCTAAGGACGGCCTGCAGTGGCCCTTGGCCCTACAATGGCAGGCAGGAGGATCTGGAGGAATGTGGGCCTTGTTGGGTGGCGAAGGGCAGCCTGGCTCCCTGGAGAGGGCGGAGGGGTGGGGACAGCGCCAGAGGGTTGCACAAGGCCGTGGGCAGATGAGTCACAGCTGGGGGGGGGTAGAGACGAGGAGGGGTGAGGACGGGTGGGACAGCCTGATACCCCTCTGCCAGGGTCCTCCAGGAGTGGCTGCCCATTTGTCAGATGGGGAGACTGAGGCCTGGCACGTGTTGAGTGCCATCCTGGGGAACAACCAAGACAGGAGTCCCTATCCTGTGTGGGGGTGTGGCCTGGTTGGCAGTTTGGTTTCCCCTGTTACTCACTGGCCTTACTTCACTGTGGGGTCGTGGTCTGCAGGCACAGGGAGTCCAGCCATTCTCTGGTGACACCTTCTTCTACCTGGGGGTCCCCTCCGCTGATAGCCGCCTTCTCTCCCTGCAGGTGTTGGCGGGGAAGATGGCTGGCGGCGTGGACGGCCCCATCGGGATCCCGTTCCCGGACCACAGCAGCGACATCCTGAGTGGCCTGAATGAGCAGCGGACACAGGGGTTGCTGTGTGACGTGGTGATCCTGGTGGAGGGCCGCGAGTTCCCCACGCACCGCTCGGTGCTGGCCGCCTGCAGCCAGTACTTCAAGAAGTTGTTCACGTCGGGCGCCGTCGTGGACCAGCAGAACGTGTACGAGATTGACTTCGTGAGCGCCGAGGCACTGACGGCGCTCATGGACTTCGCCTACACCGCCACGCTCACGGTCAGCACGGCCAACGTGGGCGACATCCTGAGCGCTGCCCGGTTGCTAGAGATCCCGGCCGTGAGCCACGTGTGCGCAGACCTGCTGGAGCGCCAGATCCTGGCGGCCGACGATGTGGGAGACGCAGGCCAGCCCGACGGGGCGGGCCCCACGGACCAGCGCAACCTGCTGCGCGCCAAGGAGTACCTAGAGTTCTTCCGCAGCAACCCCATGAACAGCCTGCCCCCCGCCGCCTTCCCGTGGCCTGGCTTCGGTGCCCCTGAAGACGACCTCGATGCCACTAAGGACGCAGTGGCTGCTGCCGTTGCCGCGGTGGCTGCCGGCGATTGCAATGGCTTGGACTTCTACGGCCCGGGGCCCCCCGCCGAGCGGCCACCCGCGGGCGACGGAGACGAGGGCGACAGCACCCCAGGGCTGTGGCCTGAGCGGGACGAGGATGCCCCGGCCGGGGGACTCTTCCCGCCACCCACCGCCCCGCCGGCCGCCACACAGAATGGCCACTATGGCCGCGCTGGAGAGGAGGAGGCAGCATCGTTGTCCGAGGCGGCCCCCGAGCCTGGCGACTCCCCAGGCTTCCTGTCGGGCGCAGCCGAGGGCGAGGATGGCGAAGCGGCTGATGTGGACGGGCTGGCGGCCAGCACGCTGCTCCAGCAGATGATGTCCTCGGTGGGCCGAGGGGACAGTGATGAGGAGTCCCGCGCAGACGACAAGGGTGTCATGGACTACTACCTGAAGTATTTCAGCGGCGCTCACGATGGCGACGTGTACCCGGCCTGGTCACAGAAGGGCGAGAAGAAGATCCGGGCCAAGGCCTTCCAGAAGTGTCCCATCTGCGAGAAGGTGATCCAGGGTGCAGGCAAGCTGCCCCGCCACATCCGCACACACACGGGCGAGAAGCCCTACGAATGCAACATCTGCAAAGTTCGCTTCACCAGGTGAGCAGGCAGGGTAGGACGTGGGGGGGCGGGGCTCGACTCCCAGGGCCTCCCTGCATCATCCACGTCTGTTTGTTCACTGGGATCCATCAGCCTCCACGATATTTTCTCTGATTTTTTGTTTGTTTTTGTTTTTATTTTTCAAGACAGGGTTTCTCTGTGGCTTTGGAGCCTGTCCTGGAACTCTGTAGACCAGGCTGGCCTCGAACTCAGAGACCCGCCTGCTTCTGCCTCCCGAGTGCTGGGATTAAAGGTGTGGGCCACCACCGCCTGGCCTGTTTCGGTTTCCTCTTTTTGAGACCCGGGCTCCCCATGCAGATTAGGCGGGCCAGGAACTGGCAGTGACCCTCTTTGCTCTGCCGCAGCAGTGCTGGGCAGAAAGTGCGCCACCGCACTGGGCTCCCCAGCCGGCCTTTGTTAGGCGCCTTCCAGGTGCAGGAAAGCTGTTGTGCCCAGATGGGCCAGAGTCCCACCAGGCCACCAGCCAGTTGAGCAGGGGAGGCTCTCAAGCCGGGGCCAGCTGTGCAAAGGCCCTGGGGCCTGCTGTTAGCAGGAGTCTCTGGGTCTGAGCCTTAAGGTGTGGAAAGAACTGGAAAGGAGTTAGGGAGAGTTCAAGGGCAGGCCGGGGGCTACTTGTGATTGCTTTTGAGCAGTCCAGAGGTAGTTCCTGAGCTGTGTGGACCCAGGGCAGACTAGACCTGTGTGTGGCAGGCAGGGGTGCAGCCAGGCCCAGTGACTCAGCTGTTACCCCCTGCCCTGGGGTTCCCCCAGCCACGCCTACGAGGCCTGAAGAAAGAAGCCATTGTCCTAACTTCCTGGCCCCACCCGACCCCCTCCCCAGAACCCCGGCCCCCTCCTCAGAGGGCAGGGGAGGAGGGTGCGGCAGGGCCCCGGTGCCCAGGAGTGCCAGGTGGGGACAAAGAGCACCGCGGAGGCGGTTGCTTTAGTGGGTGAGACTAGCGGTAGGGAATCTCCGCCCCCGGGGAGTGGCCTGGGGGACCGTGGGCCCCTCCTTTGGACTAGGCTCTGCAGGGACCAGCATGGTGGAGCTCCTGGCCTGCCAGCTGCCACCCAGCATTCTCCCTTCTCACCAGGTGTGCACCTGGCTCCACCCAGGCTTGGGACTGGCTCTTCCCCACAGAGAAACTGAGGCCCAGGGAGGGGTGCCTAGTGAGGCCTTTTCTCCCATGGCCTGCATGCTCACCCCTTCTCTGCGGCCTTCCCTGCCCCCACCCCCAACCGCCCCCTCTAGGCCTGGAGCCCAGGGGCCCCCTGTGACTCACAGTGAGCATTGAGTAAGCCAGGCCTGTGGCAGCCGGGGCTATAATTACCCAGGCCGGGGCTTGGGGTGATGAAACCGGGGCTGCCTCCCACCCCCTCCCTGCTTCTGTGTGGCCCCTGTCCTGCTGTGCAACCCCAGGCCATCCAGTTCCCCCTCTGAGCCTTCTAGGGAACTCTCCCTTACACATCTAGAAAATTGTTAACCACTGGTGTGCTGGGTGGGTGGGGCCTGTGCAGGGGGACTGCCGAAGAAAGCCCCAATAGTTGGTGCAGATCTTGGGAGGGAAGTACAGAGGGTGGGGTGGGGTTCACCTCATGCATGTTCTCTTGGTACAGCTGAGGCAGAGGCAAGGGTCTGGTGCAGAGGACCGGTGGCCTTGTCCTTCTAGCAGTAGGGAGCCATGGAGGGCGCAGGGGTGGCAGCCTGGGCTGTGCCAGAGATGGAGCCCAAGCAGGAGCCAGGTGCCCAGGGTTTGGCAAAGGCAGAGGGGCCATAGGGCCTGAACAGGGGTTATTGCCCCTTGTGATCAAAGACACCATCTGGGTTGCTGGAAGATTATGCGGGGAGTCCATGCCTCAGAACAGGACAGACAGAACTAAGAAATGTCACACGAGTCAGCAAGTCACCATCTCAGTGAGTGTACCCCTGGGCTCTGCGGGACTGTGGTCCTGCCAGTCGTCCCAGCACCAGGCTGTGTCTCAGGTACGGGGGCACAGAAGGGAAGCCAGCCAAGATGCATGTGAGGCCTTGGGGTGTGGGGAGCTGTGGTGCAGGGTCACTGTGAGGGTCTAGGAGGCCCCAGAGGGTGGCCTGGGGGTGCTGCTGTCCTTCCATGCATGTTTTTGAGATGTAGTACTTTTCTTTGAGAGAGGGTCTCTCAAGGTGTAGACCAGGCTGTACAGAACTGACTGTAGCCCAGGATAGCTCCAATTCACACAGAGCCATCTGCTTCTGCCCCCTAGTGCTGGGATTAAAAGCCACCACCGCCTGGCCGGCATAAAAGTGTTTCTGGGCCAGAGCACCCATAGCCCTGGACCCCTTTTCCTGGTGGCATTTTCAGGGCCTGACATCCAGCAGGTGCCGAGTAAATCAGTACTGTTGCGAAGGGGCACACCTGCGCTTGCCCGCCCGCCGCAGGAAAGGGAAGGTGACTTGATTAAGCTGAGCATTTTCCTGGAGTTGCACAGCGGTGTCCCTTAGTGTGGGCTTTGGTGGGGCTGGGGTCTTCGGGTGCCTGCTGACCGTGCCCCACCCGCTCGCCCGCAGGCAGGACAAGCTGAAGGTGCACATGCGGAAGCACACAGGCGAGAAGCCATACCTGTGCCAGCAGTGCGGCGCGGCTTTCGCGCACAACTACGACCTGAAGAACCACATGCGGGTGCACACAGGGCTGCGGCCCTACCAGTGCGACAGCTGCTGTAAGACCTTCGTGCGCTCCGACCACCTGCACAGACACCTCAAGAAAGACGGCTGCAACGGGGTCCCCTCGCGCCGCGGCCGCAAGCCCCGCGTGCGGGGTGTGCCCCCCGATGTCCCCACTGGGGCCGCCGCGCCCCCCGGGCTCCCCGACACCCCGCGCAATGGCCAGGAGAAGCACTTTAAGGACGAGGATGAGGACGAGGACGAGGCCAGCCCCGACAGCTCGGGCCGCCTGAATGTAGCAGGCAGCGGCAGTGATGGTGCAGGTGGCCCTGCTGTGGCCACTGCAGAGGGTAACTTTGCAACCTGACTCATATTCAAAACAAACCAAAACCAAAACAAACTAAGAGAGAAGAGAGAAAAACCACACCCACCCTAGCACCACAGCTGTCTGTCCAGACGCCCTCCATCCATCCACACGCGGACCTGTGTGCGTGTATATATCCATGGCCATTGTGGGCACGCCTGCCTTTCACAGATTCTTAGGATGTGGCCACACCTGCTCCCGTGCCCCTCGCCCTGTCCGCGTGGGGTCCCACCCTGGGGGCCTCCCTGCCTGCTCCTGGCTAAGGTGAGGGTGATGGGGACCCCCAGGACAGGCGCCCGGCTCCTTGCTGGTTGGTTTTAGGGGTCTCAGACAGACCTTAAATGCTTTCTGTCCACTGTGAGTGGACGTTAAAATGGTCCCCGGCTCCCCACCCTCCTTCCTCAGGGCACTTACTAAAGAGGGGGGTGTCCCCTCGGCCTCCCTGCTCCCGTCCCGCCTGTGGCCTCACACCTCTGCACACCCGTACCCTGGCCACCCACCACTGACATACAAGTCTATTTATTCCCAAGCCTGGGTGGCCGGAGCTGGGATTTGGGGGGCCGCTGGGGTCCCGCCACCTTCTTTCACGGCACTTAAACCTGGCGGGGTCCTCGGGGCCACTGCTCAGGGCGACCCCCCCGACCCTCCTGTCTCCGCTAGCCTGACCCCGCCCCATGTTCAGAGATTGAAAATTCGTCTTCACCCTGCGCCCCACTTTTTAAAGCACTTTTTAGATCTATTTCCCCTTTTCCTCCTTAAAGACAGTTTATATAGAGATATATAGAGAGAGATATATATATAAAATATTCTTTTCCTCAGAGGAGCCGGCAGCAGGCAGCAGTTTTAGGGGGACGTAGCCAAGATCAGAGGGAACCCCAGGGACTCAGGCAGGGACAGGGGAGGGGGCAAGAGAGGCCACAGCTTAATGTCACAAAACAGCAATAAAACCCCAAGATTTTACTAAATACGAAGGGAAAACAAAAACTTTAAAAAAAAATCAGCTAAAGCGGCGACAGCCACGTGGGGATCTTGGCACTTTGTAACTGAACGGGTACTTTTCATTCTTAACTTAAGAAAATGTTTACAAGTTGCGCCCAGCTTCTATGAAAAATTGGAGAGAGAGAGAGAGAGAGAGAGAGAGAGAGCGAGCAAGCAGTGGAAAGTAACTAAGTCAATTTATTTTTGTATAAAATAAAGAAACCCAACCCATTGCTCCGGCAGAATCCACGTGTGTTCCCGAGGCTCAGGGCGGGGAGGCCAGGACGCCGCGGGAAGGGACCCAGGGTCCCCGAGTCTGCCAGGCCCCCCTTTCCCCAGCCCAAGTTGATTTTCTCTTGTCTCTGTTGGAGACCACAGGCCTGGGAGCGAGGGCCGCTGTCCCCTTCGGCTCGCTTCCCAGCTCAGGGATGTCCCCGAGAGAGAGGGAGAGAGGGCTGGTCCCTGGCCAGCCAGACCCCATGACTCTTGCCCGGCCCCCCTTCCCGTGTGGTAGTACCTCCTAGGCACCCCCTTTTTACTCAAAGGCACTGACTGTAACCCAGGGGCCGGCACCTGACCCCCCACGCCCCCAAACTCCGGCTCCCCCCCAAAGGCCCGGTGTGACCGAGCCACAGGCCACGGACAGGGGCCGGGGTTGGGGACGATGCTGCCGGGTGCCGGCATGGGTTGAGGTGCCCGGTGTGTCTATTGACAAATGTCTTGTTCTTTGGCTCTAAAGGGAAGCTCGATAAGAAGGCCGCTTCCAGTCTCTAACAGAGAGGTTTTCCTTTTCATCCCCTCCCATCCCGCGAGCCTCCTCCCCAAATGTCTCAGGATCCCCCCTTGGGGCCAGCAGAAGGGGCAGGCCCAGGGGCGGGGTGGTGCTGGCCTCCCTTGCACCCCACTCCCATCGAGAGCTGTCCCGGGAACCGGGCTGTGGCCAAGCAGGGCCCAGCAGCCCCCACTGCTCCACCCTCGCAATAAAACCAACCTTAATCACATGTCATCCTGGCCAGTGGCCACCAGACTTGGGGCGGGTGGAGCCCTTGGGGACTGTGGTGGAGGGTGTCCCATAGCCCGCCAGCGACAACGCAAACCCCCTTGGGAATTGCACTAAACCCTTGCCCCCAGCTCTGCGCTCAGCTTCTGCCCACCCACACCCACCTTGCCTTAACCGCCAGCCCGTCCTGGGGGGCCGCAGCCACTGCATGGGCCCATCGCCGGGACAACCCCAAGGCCCGCCCCCTGCTCCCCATATTGCAATCACACACTGTATATAGAATGTGGATCGATTTTTACAAATTTTTATTTAAATTAAGGCCGTGATAAAAGTTGCCAAAGAGAATTGTGGAATTCACTAGAGGTTTGAGCGGAGGGTGCTGTAGAGAGAGAGGTTTTTGTTTGGGGGTTTATTTTTGTGTGTGTGCTCTTTTTTTTTTTTTTTTTTTTTTTTTTTTCAAATGCCTGGTACCAACGACAAAAAGAAAAAAAATTGGAAAAAAGATAACAAACTTGTTACTTCCATTATGGTGAATTTTCGTGTGTTTGAGAGAGAGAGAGAGAGAGAGAGAGGGCCCAGCCAGGGGGGTTCCAGGGACCCCAGGACTGGGGAGGGGACTGGCCTTCAGCTGTCCCCAGCCTGTGACCTGAGCATAGGCCACGCCTGCTGAGTAATTGCTGCTCTTTGCCTTCCTACCCCACTGGCCTTTCTAGATTAAGAAAAAAAAATTAAATAAAAAGGCAAAAAAATAATAAAAATGAAAAAAATCTATATATATCTATATATATATATAGAAACCAATGAATGTAAATGACAGACCTGGCCCTGCCAAGCTGGGCTCGAGTGGGCGGAACCAAAGCGGGTGCCCTGGGGTGGTCACTCAGGAGGACCCCCTCCCTCCAGCGGCCACCACCCTGTCACCCTGTCCGAGCACAGCTGACCTTCCTCGGGTGCTCCCGTGGGTCCCCTGGGTGGGCGGCCGGGGGGGACGCTCCTGCTGAGGCAGCACAGGTGGGCATCAGGCCGGCTGTCAGGGACTCCTGGGTGTCCACAGTGCGAATGGGGATTGTAAAGGGTGACACAGGCTGAAAGGAAAAATAGAAAAAAAAAAAAAAAGACAAAAAAAGACAAAAACTGACAAAAAAAATAAAGCAAAATCCTATTTTTTGAGAAAGAAAGATATTTATATTTGCAGTTTTATTTTAAAAAGTTATTTAAGCTGAGGAAACAGCCTTCCCGGAGTTCGGGGTGGCTGGCACCGGACGGGTCAGGGGTCTTGGGGAGCTCCTCACCCCAGGAATGATTATCTCAGTTCAGAACTAGCTCGCACTAAATATTGACTTATCTTGGTGGGGGGCACGGGGTTCAGGAGACAGAGGGCCAGGGGAGCCCCGCCCCAGGTCCAGAATGAGGTGCCTTGGATTTTTAGGGCCCAGGCCTGTTGTGGGGTCCGGAGCACAGAACAGACATTCCACTGACTGGATGTAAGAATCTTTATAAAGTGGGGGAGGCAGAACGAAAACAAATCAATTGATTTTAAAAAATGCACTTTTTGGGGGTGGGGGGACAAGATTTAAAAGTAATAAAAAACATACAAACAAAAGATTATGAAAAAAATCCGAAAAAAATAGAACTCATTTTTCTTGTACATAAAAGAAAAACCCAACCACTAAATGCAGCCTGTTACGACGTCTCCTTGCCTGGTCTCTGTGTTCTTTTTTTTTTTTTTTTTTTTTTTTGGGTGGGTGGGGGAGTGTCTGGGAGACACCCAGTATCTATCCAGTTTCACATGCCCTGAGGGTGGGGCCTGACAGAGGGACCCAGGGGGTCCCAGGGTGGGTGTTAGGTTTTTCCAGGCAAAGATAGGTCACCTGGGCTGGTGACCTCAAAATCCTGGGTGTTTCAGGCCCTGGTCACCTGTGCCTGGACAATAGGAAGCCCCCAAGTTGCTGTCCTCAGCTGGTCTCCAGTGACCTTATCGGGCCTAGGGGGCCGGAAACCTCAGCTGGCTGTGGACAACTTCCTGTCCCCAGGAGGAAGTGGGAACTGGGGCCCTGTCACTAGGGAAAGGAGATGGGGTAGGCATGGGGTCCTCCCACGGGCTGTACCCAGGGTAGTGGAGCCATGGATGGGTGGCGTGCACTTGGGTTCTGGGTGTCGGGAACCCACTAAGTCTGCCTGGACGTGTGCCCACCGAGTGGCTGCCGCTTGCCCCGTGGGGCTGTCTGCTGGACGGCTCCAGGCCGTCCATTCCCAGATGGGAACCATGGGCGTTCTTTGGGCTCTCCTGGCCAGTGTTTCCAGGCCTGACCTGAGAGGGACAGGCTTCTGGGCCTAGAGGGTGCAATGCTCACACATGCTCACGTGTAGGATTGGCTCTAGCGTGCTGAGGTTTTCTTTTTCGAGATCATACTATCTAAGGCTTGCTTGCATGGTCCACATGGTCACAGCACATGGGTGGGTCTCACTGAGCACATCCCTGCACGTCCCTGGGTGTGTGTTGGAGCCTTGCTCCTGTTCAGGGTCGAGTAATACTCCAGCGCGTGTTTCAAGCCCAGAGACCCGCCCATATTTAACCTGAGGGGCCTCCTGGTGACATCATCTAACAAGCCCCGTCCAGCCTTTAGCTCAGGGGAGGACGGGCAGGTTACAAAGAAACAAAACAAAACCCACAGATGGCCAGGACTGGCTACTCTTGGTTCTTTTTTTTTTTTAATTTTATTTGCATTTTTAAAAAACAATTAAATTAGAATACAAATATTAGAAAAGAGTGCCGCGCGGCTGGCCAGGGCCCCCGGCGAGTTCATGCGGTGACACCGCCAGGCCGCCCGCTCCGGACCAGACCCGGTATTGCTTCCTGACAGAGTCGGGTGGGGAGGGCGACGGGCGGTGGAAGAGCGAGCCTCCGGCAGGCAGGGAGGCAGCTGAGGAGCCCGAGGCAGGGCTGCCCCGTGGGGAAGTGAACCTGAATGAATTGGAGTTACCGAGGTAGCTGGCTAGAAAACGACACCCCCCCACGCCACGCGGGTCCGCGACACCACGTTATTGCACATTGTGGCTGCTGTCCCCGGCCCGCCGCCCCACCATGGCTTCTCAACTAAAGACGCTCGCGGCCAGGCCAGCGCTCCAGGCTCGGCCTCAATGTAGGAAAAGCAGAACAGCCACGCGCGGCCGTTGCCTGTCCAGTGTCCGAGATCCCTCCTGTGCCCCACGGGGCCTGCTCCGGGAGGTGGCCCGCAGGCTGCCGGCCTGTGTTGTGTTGATTTGCTCTTGTTTTTTCTCATTTTGTACTTTTCTCATTTTTGTCACTTTACTGTTTTTTTTTTTTGTTTTTGTTTTTTTTTTTTTAATCCCCCCAAGAGGAGAGTCCAGAGATACGGGAGCCAGGGAGGGGTGGGCAGGGGAGGCCGGCGCGTCAGCAGGCGGGCACAAGACCCTTCTGGAATGGGCAGCGGCGCTTCGGCCGGGGGCCCTCATCGTCATCCTCGTCATCCTCGTCATCCTCGTCATCGTCGTCCTCTGAGGAAGACGAGCTGTCCAGTGTGAGGTCCACCACGTCGGCGCCAGGCTTCCCGTTCTCTGGGCCACCTGCCGCCCCTGCCCCGCTGCCCGCACCGCCCAGTGCGCTGCTCATGCTGCCTCCCACGCCGGGGCTGCTGGAGGCCTGCGGGAGCCCGTTGGCGTCCGAGGTGCCTGCAGGGACAGGGACAGTGCTCAGCTGCTGGCCAGGCTGGCTGGCACACTTCAGGGGCGGTGTGTAGGCACTCACCAAGTACCAGGATAGGTCCCTGCGGGCTGCAGCTCGGCTCCTTCTCCGCACGGATTGGGCGCCAGGAGCCTTCGGCCAGGAACTCGATCTCGTCTGCGTCCTCGCACTCACTCAGGATCTTCGACAGCAGCCTTGGGGGCAGCAGAGTGGACAGGGTTGGGTCTGGGCAAACTCCACTGCCCTAGCCAGAAGAACTACACATCCTCTGGGGGCCTGCGGTTTGCTAACTTCCCACGGCCCAGAGATGTTGGCTACCAACCTGAGCCTTCCTCCAGACAGCCCCTCTCCACTGGGGTGGTGGCACAGGGCTCCACCAATGGCAGAGGCACCTGCTGAGTCTGCCTCCAGCCCTGGGCTAGGGACGGCCTGGGCGGAAGAGCACAGCTGGGCAAGAACAGAAGGCAATTGAATGCAGCCCGCATGCGCAGTCCCAGGGTGGCACTCACTCCACCCAATGCTAGAGCTCGGCAGGGAAGCAAGTGGCCCATCCAGCCAGGACCCTGGCAAAGCCCAGCGCCTGCTGAAGGAGTTGGGTTGGGAGCAGCCTCAGTTTCCTTCCTGAGAGCATGGCAGGTTAAACGCTGACCTGGGACTCCCCAGGGTCTGCTGGGGACACACTCACGTCTCCCACCCAAGCCCAAGGACAGGCAGAAAGCACCTAGGGTCCCAGGCAAGAGGCCACCTGTGGTGGCTCTGGGGATACAGAGCTGCAGGTGGCGCCTGGCAGGAGTCTCAGGTACCACAGACAGCAGACGCAGTGTCTGGAGTGGAGAGCTGAGCCGTCCCAAGGGGAAGCACGACCCCTCCCTTTCTGCTGTGGGGCAGAGTCCTGCAGGGCAGTCAGGACTGCAGGAGGCCACTTGCAAAGATTGAGGTCACAAGATCACAGGCACAGGGGACTCCATGCAGAGCTAAACTAAGATACAATGACCACCTCCATAACAAAGGCTCCAACAAGTCCTACAAGCCAGGCCACAGGCCCCACTGTCCCGCTGGAGTCTCCAGCGTGCAGAGCCCTTCAGACTCACCCGTCTATAATCAGCTGGTCGTAGGCAGCGGGCTTGTCACACACAGGGCACATCCACGTAGGCTTCTTCTCATTCATCTGCAGGTAGAAGACGGCATCGAAGCACTGCAGGTGTGCACAGGTCTCTGCACGGCAGGGGACCGACAGCCGCATCTTCACCAGCTGTCAGGGAAAAGACGGGGCTGTGAGGACACCGTCCCACACGAGGCCGACCACCCATGTGGCTGGGGACAGATGGGGACTCACTGGGCAGATAAGGGACACTCGCACTCCAGTAGTGGCGATCTCACTGTCGGGGTCTAGGCGAAGCTTCTCTTTGACTGTGAGGTGACAGAGGGGACAGGCGTCAGAGGGCGGGGTCTCTCCACAGCTGAAGGAGACTGTAGGAACTCATGGAGGCCAGGTTGGCCTCCACATCTCCCTGAGCCTGATCCTTCTGCCACCAGTTCCCAAGCGCCAGCCCACAAACCCTGCTCACTCCACACAGGGACCCCGTGGGCTCCCGAGACCTGCAGGGCATTTCTGCAAAGTCCCAGGCAGCACAACCTGCCAGAGGAGGTAGAGATGCTAATGCCACATAGCCTGGAGGACTCAGCTGTGAGCAGCATGGAGACCCTTTAACCCAGGCCATGCAGCTCCAGGGACACTGAGCAGGCTCAGCCCAGGCACAGACAGCAAGCACACCTGTGAGTGCTGTCCCACCCTGGCCACCAAATTATAAAGTAGGTGGCCTTGGTCTGCAAAGCTTGCCTTCAACTCTCCAGGTATAAGCTACCCCCAGGGGACCTGGGCCACGTCCTCCTGGTCAGGAGTCTTGGCCCAGCATGGTCAACCCCAGCTTGGAAGGGTGACAACAGGCCTGGATGCCTCCGAGGTGGCTTGGACCTGTCCTGCAGAGAAATGGCCACCGGCGACATTCAGGGCCTCCGAGGCCCCATCAGCCAAGTGTGGGTGGGCGCTGTGGGCTCTGCCACAGAAACTCTGTCTTTCACAACCACACTGTCTCATCCGAAAACCCCTTGTCACACCCGGGCGACAGTGGCCCCACGCCTCGGGAGGCAGAGGCAGGTGGATCTCTGTGAGTTTGAGTCCAGCCTAGCTACAGTGCTGGTTCCTGGACAGCCAAGGCTCCACAGAGAAACCCTGTCTCCACAAACCAAGCACCATCACAAGTGCCCTGGCCTAGATCTCCGGTGTTCCCAGACTGCCCAGCTGCCCTTGCTCTCCAACTGTCTAAGTCAGGGGGCCTGAAACCCCCACATCCAGATCCAGAACCCTGACCGCAGGTTGACACTGTGTCTTTGCCCCCAGTCCCTCAGCCACCCTTGCACACACCACGGGTGCTGCACACCCTGGAACAGAGCAGGTCCCACCGGGCACAGCCAGGCCCTGGGGCCCCAGCTGCTCACCCAGTGCCTTGCAGAGTTCTGGATGCTTCACACCGATCGTCTTCAACCTCTGCAGCAGGTCTGAGGAGGTCAGCTGCCGCACCAGGTACAAGGCTACGGAGTAGCTCTGTGGACAGAGCGGCTGCAGCATCAGGGTGCTGAACGCAGGGTGGATGGGGTCAATGTGGGATGGACAGGGTGCACATAGGGCAGTGGGGCTCGGGCACAGGGGCTCACCTTGCCATAGTTGCCCCAGGTGACAGTGATGCGGTTGGTGGCCGAGGACAGATACATGAGGTGGGTGAGGTTGATGGGTCGACAGGGTCTCTTGGGTTCCACACCAGGCTTGTTGGAGGGGTAGTAGCCCTGTGAACAGAGATGTGCTCAACCCCACCAGCTCCCATCCTTACCCTGCGTCCATGTCACCCTGCCCCTGGCTCCTGTTGGCTGGCTCACCGGCACTGAGCAGTAGCTGTGGTTAACCTTGACAGCGATGTTTGGTGGGTACTGATCCTCCTGTGGGCAGCTGGTGTCAGAGTAACAGATCCTGGGGAGACAGGGGACATAGGGGGCTGTGAAGACAAGCAGCAGAGGTCCCAACAATGACAACAGATGGTAGAGGTACAGGGGTGGACAGGATGTGGCTGTGTGTGCAGAGTGATGGCCACAGGAGAGGCGGGGGCCAGGGCACTGCTTGCGTACCTCAGCACCACCTGCACGGCTTTCACTCCAGGCTGCAGCTCTCTGTGGGCAGGGCACAAGGCAGGAGTCAATGGGCAGCACAGACCACCCTGGAGCCCTCCCCATCATCACCAGGTGAGTAATAGGCAACAGGACAAAGCGTTCCTGGCCCATGCCAGGAAGAATCTGTGTCCATCGTAGGGGTGAGGGAGGAGGCGGGCAGAGGACCTGGCCATACCCCAGCCTGACCTCTGTTCTGCCAAACGGCTTAGGGACAGTCACAACCGTAAACACAGCTTGGCTGTGCTGTCCTGGCCACACCTTCAGAAAGTTTATTCATACCCATCTTTCCCAGGGAACCCTGGTGACATCTAGATGAACGTAGCTGGGCTCTCCTGGCATGGAGTGATGGGTGCTCGTGAGCCTGCGGGGCCCACATAGCCCAGCACAGGAGGGCACACAAGGGAGCTGCTCGCGGTGGACGCACCTGGAGTTGCGGATCATCTCCACCTGCCGCGGCGTCAGTGCAAAGATGCACGGGCTCTCCTGAAGCTTCTCTGCACTCTGTGGGACTGAATGCATATGGGTCAGGCCGCCTGGCTACAGCTCCCCAGCCACAGGGCAAGAGGCCAACCCTCTCTGCCTGGGAATCAGGGGACACATTCTGGCCCCTCCCACTCTGGGTCCCTTTAGAAGAGGGTGCCCCAAAGGCAGAAGGGTAGCTACTTATATCCTGAGGCCACCGTGGCTCCAGGAGAGACTGCTGGCCTAGTGTGCCCCAGTTCCTTCCCCAGCAGAGGGCTCTGACCATGTGGACATGTGACTCAGCAGTGGCCTGCAGTGCATCCACAGCAGGCCTCTGAGGGGCAGGAGGAGGGAGTTCAGAGCCAGCCACCCTAGTAAGCAGTAGGCTTGAGCAGAAGCATCTTGGGTCCAAGGGCAGCTGGCTGCAGGGAACAGGCCCCAAGTTCCACCCAACACTGCGAGATCAACCAGTGCCCCACCAGATGGCGTTCCCTGTCTAGCCACAGGCACTGCTAGCGGGTGAGGCCCCCAGAAGCCAAGTTCCCGTGACACCCTGTTTACAAGGAGCACTGACACTGGGTTGGACTGGCCTGGGACCGTCTCAACTAGAGGCTGTGGGACCAGTCGCAGTGAGTGTAGGCAAGTTCAGGGCTGGGAGGTGGAGTTGCTCCAGTGAGGGGAATCACACCTGCCCGACCAGGATCGTGGAGAGAGCCCATGGGTGCTTGGGTGGCGGGCGGCCGCTGCTGAGCAAACCCATAGGTCCTGAAGGATGAGCTGGAACAATTGCCCTAAGGGAGACTGGGTAGCTTCTGTGGCATAGGGGTGGGCATCAAGCAGGACCCAGGCTGCTGGGTGAGTATACACTGCTGGGGTGGGTCCCACACCCTTGCAGTCAGCTGAGGCATGACCTGCCCTATGCTGTTCCCCAGGCCAGGACCTCTCGTCCATCAGCCAGGCCCTACAGCTGTAGCCCCGCCAGGTCTGAGACACTGAGGGCAAGGTCTCCTTAGCACCAGCTGGGAACTCCTCCTTGGTGGCCTTACAAACCAGGCGCACCCTTGCCTTAAGGCCTCTGTACCTCCTTGTCCCACCCCAACCCCAGTCTCCCCCAAGAGAGGGTCTCACTTTATGACCTGGCTGGCCTTGAACCTGCCATCCTGAGAACCTGAGTAAACTCCAGGACTTGTTGGGAAGAGCTCAAGGCCAACCTGGCAAGCAGGCTCACACACAGCAACCTTGCTCCATCTGCCCCCCCCCATTAACTACTTTCCCTTTCTCTCTGGCCCACTGCAGCATGGGCGCGGGTGGAGGTCCACACCAGACACGACACACACTACACATGGACGGCCCAAGCACAGAAGCTAAGGAACCCACAGTCGCCACCCCCACCATGCCTGAGGTGGGCAAATACCAAGGGATCATGAAGGGTCAACAGGGACAGGTGGGGACCAGGACAGAGCACTCAGGGTCAAGGAACACAACGACCCGTGTCCCCCAGCTGCACCCCAGCCTGCACGCAGAGTTGGGGCAGCATGGAGCTCTGCAGACAGGGGACCAGTCAGCTCCACTGTGCTGCTGACCTGCTTCAAACCAGTGACCCGAATTGGGTATCAGAGAGCAAGGAGCACGCTAGGTGCCATGGCACATACCTGTCAGCCAGGCTAGGGAGGTAGAAGCAGGCGGGTCAAAGGTTCAAGGCCACCTTGGGCTACCTAAGACCCTGCCTCAAAACACAGCACACACACAAAAAATCATGCAAAAGATGAAGACAAAGGCCTGTTGGAAGGGAACCACAGTGGAGGAGACGTCATAAGGACAGGGCAGGGCATTCAGGGCAGTGGTGGTGCACACCTTTAATCCCAGCACTCAGGAGGCAGAGACAGGCGGATGTCTGTGAGTTCGAGGCCAGCCTGGTGGCTGGTCTTTAAGAACTAGCTCTAGGACAGGCTCTAAAGCCTGTCTCTCTGTAGAGAAACCTCATCTCTAAAATACCAAAAAGACAGGGCAGGCAGTGGGGTGTGACCTTGAGGACAGAGACAGCAACCAAAGGCTTGGGGGGTGAGGAGCCACAGTCCTGCAAAGACCCTGGGGCAGAAGGAATCTGACAGGCCTTCCCAGTCAACAAGTGCTAGCGGGTGGCTCTGATCCTAGCACCGCAAGGCCTCAGGCTAGTGCAGGGGTTCTCAACACGTGGGGTGTGACCTCTCTGGGGGGTTATTTTGACCCTTTCACAGGGGTCACAAAAACAAAAACCCCGCTGGAAACCACCGATCTACATTACAATTTATAACAGTAGCAAAATTACACTTATGAAGTAGCAACAAAGTAACTTCACGGTTGGGGTCACACAACAGGAGCAACTGTGTTAAAGGTCACAGCAGGAGGAGGGTTGAGAACCTCGGACCTAGAGCATCACAGGCTCCAGGCCAGTCTGGGCTACACTGTTAGCCCTGTCTCAAAAACCGCATCAACAAACCAAGAAAGACAGCACGGTAGCCAGGGAACATGGACCCATGTGGGCAGCAAGGGGAAGGAGTAGGGCTGAAGAAGCTGACATCCTAGGGACCCGAGGGTCATAGGTCACCGGCCCTGGCCACCTCCTCAGGTCCAGGCACTATCTCTACACTTCTGAACACAGATGCTCAGGACACCCTCCAGCCACACAGCCCTGGGGTAGGGGAGAGGAGACACAATCCTCCCCATCCAGTCCTGCGCTGTCCTCACTTCTGCTGCCCTGGGCCTGCCTGGCCCAGGAGCGGGGAAACAGTAGACAAGGGTGCAGGGGGGGGGGGGGGGGGGG